ATGAGTAAAGGAAGAGATTTTAAGGAGGGCTGCACCTTAAACTTATAACTACTCATCCTGGTTTTTCCGGCTTACCTAAACTCAGAGTCGCAGTCAGCACAATTGCGGCTTTCACTATGATTATTGTTGCTCTCGCACAGGGCAGACTTCTAAAGGTAAAGGTTTTTTTCCTGAACAATCGATTATCTTAAAATGTTTGCTCCCACCACTTTTCCTCCAAATGTGGCAGAGTTGGCGCGGCAGTCTTCTATCACAGCACACATACTCTCCACCCAATCGTTCTTGTCTTTTTGCGTTTCTAAAGCATTTCAAGGGTAACGGTGGGTCGATTATAGGAGTTTTACTGAGAACTTACCAGTGTACAACTCAACACATCGAGATGGTCCATTTCCATCGGAACCCCTTATGTAGAAGGAATGTTCGCGTTCTAAGTTGTCTCCCTCACAAATCTAGAAATCAACCACTAACTTCCATTTTGATAAGGGCCAAATTAAGAAAAAGAGAGCATACCTGAGTATGACAGGCGTGGAATACAGCTCGCAAGCGGTATTTGTATAGACCGATCATCTTTCTCTCACATGCGAGAAGAATTAAATCGTTGAACAAAAATATCGTTCTTTCTTCGGTCTTTTCTGTTGTGGAAGAGATTTTCTAAAAACAAAAGTGTTATTGTTAAGGAAATCTTCTACGATAGTCACAAATGCATTCATAAAGCTGAAGGAAATACTACATGAATTTTGAATTTCTCATGATTTTCGTTTCTTGAAGAATAAAATTCCAACAAATGCATCAATGAAGTGCTTACCTGAAGTGTTCCTGTCCTCAAAAGCTCTCTTCCTGGGGAGACAAGTGATATGGAGTTTCCAAGCAGTTCCTGAACTTCGATCACCTTCCCAAATCCATCCTAAAATTTATTTCAAGGTTAATGAGTTGCTAATCGGATTGTGAAAACTAAAAAAGCTGTTATCGAGCTTTCTTTCTAGAAAAGGAGTAGAGATTAATCAAGAAATTACTCCTGGGTACGGGTATAGGTAACCACAGTAGTCACATTCTATCAAAACTAGGTAAGAACAATGCCATACATTCTTGACATTTGAAATTACAATAAATCATTACTATAATTTTGGATTTGAGCACACGTCCCCGAAAGTATGTGAGCGTGAAGAGAGAATTGGGAATTCTTACTTCTTCGGAACAGGTTTGAGTGCAAACGGGCAATTGAATAACTTATTGCATCTAACAAAACCTTGAGTAACAAGAGTTGCATGTAATTTTACACAACTTTCTTGTTTTGTTCTTTCTCTTCTCCGTCTGAGATATCAACTTATGAATAGAAGGGCTATCGCCTAACTAAGAATTAGTAAAATTACCAGCTTTTTCATCATCT